TGGAATCAAAAAAACCTGAGATCCAGGTGAGAGTCCCTGTGCAAGCAACTTAACCTCTCTAAATTTCTAATTTCCACATCTATAAAATGAGGACAACCCCTACCTCATGGTGATGGTTAAGGACAGCTAAGGATAAAATGAGATAACATTTTGAAAATGTACAAAGTAGTATGCAAGTGTCATTTATCACTAGGTTATTTTAACCTGCCCAAGGTTACAGAGCTACTTAGCAGCACAATTAGAATACAAGTTTCTTAACTCCTAGTCCAGTACATCTTGCGTCATGAAACTAGGCTTCTGATTCCTCTAATAAAGGCCACCTTATTCTTTCATCTAGTTCAAAGCCTCTTAACCTTTGTTTGCATGGTTGGGGACCTCTTCTAGAATGTGACAAAACTGATAGGCCTCTCCCCCAGCAAACTGCACACATACGCCAACACAAAATCTCCTATAGTCCATCCCTGCGAACCCGGTTTAGGAACCACTGATATGACTGATGTACTTATAAGTTTCTCTTAGCAATTTCTATTTCTTATTTTAATGTTTAGTTCATGCCTTGACCCTCTTGATAAGGGATTGGATCCAAGGAAGCACCAAGGGTGGAATTCGAGAATCTGAATACTTCCCCCAGATCATCATACTGATCAGGTAAGGGACTTCATCCACATACGACCACAAACAGAAAGGAGAAACAAAGTAAAGGATTAAGTACTCAAAGGCAGGCTACTCAGGGAAAAAAAACAGGATAGTCATTATTTGGTCATGTCGCTACTATACAAACCATTCAAACGATTCTCCATGACCATTTTCAAATAGTCACCTACAGGCACCACGCCAGCCCCACACCCATCGTGATTAACCTTAGATTAGATCACTGAAAATCCTTCTATCCTCCCTTACCTTACTTTAGTTGACAAAGACACTACACTCACTGTAAAGAAAACTTGGCTAGGGAAAAACACAGCAGTAAATCTTTGGGGGAAGTCAAGTAACTGTTTTTCTCTTCTTGAAAGACAAAATTTAGCCAACCTAACCCACTAGAATGTTAAACAATTATAAAATACTTGATTTGATTGAAATGGTATACAATTGCTAGTTCTGAAATATCAACAGATAATGAATCTTCTGAGACAAAGACCAGTTAAAAACTTCTTTGGTAAATCCCCCAGTTCCTTGCTAAGTACACAGAAAGCTGCTTAACGATACCAACTATTGAATTGTCATTAATCTACTATTGTCCAGCTATATCTCAATCTTCTCATCTGGAAAATAAAAACAACACCTAACCTATGGCACAAATACACTGTGACCATATTTATGAATTTTTAAATATGTTAACAGTTAATAGTTTTTATCCCTGAGTTGTAAAACACCATGTTAACAGTTAATAGCTTATATCCCTGAATGATGATTAGGGATGATTTTAATTTTTACCTATATTTTGCAATATTTTCAAGTTTTATATAATGTTTACATATTATTTCTAAAACTAGGAATTTTGAACAACTCAAATAAGTCATTATTATTATATACTCACAGATTTTCAGTCTCATGATTATAGAACCCTTATTTGGGGGCCAGCAACATACAAGTCCTTAAATATATCCTAAAACCAAGAATCACATATGCTGACTCTTCTAAAGAAATCCTGTACATTCAAGGTTGATTACTCCATTAGGGGTAAAAAGGTTTTTTACATACAAAAATAAAAATGTACACACTTTGGGGACCAATTCTCTAAGTCTGAGGTCTTAACCTCTTTCAGAGCTGCTGTATGAATCCTCCCAGCCCTTCACCTATCTTTGAAATTGCTTCACTTTAGATAAATAGAAGCCAAGTCCTTGAGGATTCCACTTCTTAAATTTTCTGTAAATCCATAGGTTCAGCCTGGTGGTCAAGGATAAAATGAGATCTTTCCCACAGTTGAAAACTGGTTTCCTGAAAAAGCTGATATCCAATTTCTACCATTTGGTATTATTCATCATTCCTACCTTTTAAAGCTGCAGTAAATTAAGATTTTAAGGCCTTTCCATATGGCCTAACAGGTACAACTCAGCATTAGAATTGTTCTTTTCCTTTTATAAGGGTCTTCCACTGCATCATAAAGTCTAACCAAGGGATTCTTTCTCAAACTGTCAGAACAATAAACTATTCGATTTTTTTAAAAAATCACCTAAGAAAAATAATTTATACTTAGAGAATCGAAATTGATAATGTTTTCAATGAGCTCTGCACTGTCAATGAGTCAAATCTGTTAGAAGTCTGTAAGTTAATTTTAAAAATTTTAACTTTTTGGTAACTACTGAAAACCTTAAGTTAGAATTTACATTATTAGCTGGGCCAGGTGGCTCACACCTGTAATCCTAGCACTTTGGGAGGCTGGGGTGGGAGGACTGCTTGAGCCCACAAGTTTGAGGTTGCAGCAGTGAGCTATGATGGATAACACCACTGCTCTCTAACCCAGGTGACAGAGCAAGACCCCATCTCGAAAAAAAAAAAAAACAAAAAAAACTGCATTAGCCACATTAAAACATGCCTAACATGAAACAGATTATACAAGAACTGTAGGGGGAAAAAGTCACTCTCATGTGTTATCCATTTACTGAACATCTCCAAGTAAAACAGGTGTGGACAGTTCTTAAAATGTTTAAATGTTAGAATCCAAATATTCATCTGTGTTGTATATTTCAAATAGCATATATTTTAACAAAAAAAGTCATTTCCAAGAAATACTTGAATCAAAAGAGAAGACAGTCATATAACCCTGATCAAATAACCCTCATTATTCACCATGTAAACTGATTTTTCATTTGTGTTATACATATAAATTTGACGTCTTTAATCAGCTCACATTTCCTTTAGGAATTAAACCAGCTAATTCTCAGAAACTACAAGTTTATTTCTTACAACAGAAGACAAGTTATTTATAGGTTATTCTAGGTATGTTGTAGTACTTAAGTCAAAATGAGTTACCTCTGTTTTTCCATCAACGAAATGGAAATACATGGATTTTGAGAGATGAGTGAAGTTTTTCCAACAGTATTTTTAGAATGATCCTTAAATCCTAAACTTGTAATCTCGGCATCACTTCAACTTTACTATCTTACAAGGAAGAAAAAGGCCTAGGGGACAATTTACCAGCACCCAAGATGGCACTGTCACAGTCAACACCTCCCACCACAGCCACCATTTTGAGCGGCAGGATATAATTAAACTATTCACGATTTTACACCAACTAAAAGAAAACGCAGGACATCAGAATAATCGTTAAACATCTCCTGACTTTTAAGATTCCTAATCTTTAATTTCTGTGGCAGTTTCTCTTCTTTAGTCAATATAAACAGCTGTCTCAAGGAAATTTTTATTACAAAAATCATGTTTGTAACATTCATGTTCAAACTTTGAAAACAAACGCTGTGGTGCTGCGTAAAATGCCTAAACGATTACATCTTCCTAAAAACCAGAGAAGCCTACGATTTCATCACATTGTTTTAATCAGCTTAAGGAACTAAGAATCGCCAAAACCCAGCGAGTGGACCTAGTTTATCAGTCTAAATTCCTCTTCACTCTCCCATCCCCAACCCTTTTGATCTTTTTATTTTCCCGACTTCATTAACTCCAACGAGAGCAAGTTCCCACACTTCATTCATATAAGAAGCAAATGGTATTTCAACAAACACGACTGCATCTAAAAATAAAGGTGAAGCAAAGACCTTAGGAGAAAACGAATTAAAATCAACCCGAAAATGGCAGAAAGTAAGATACAAGGCGGTGGGGAGGCAACACGATTTCCTCCTCCAAAAGAGTGATTCTAATTTTGATTACTCCGTCGGCGAACGCACCGGCAGAACTGGGAACAAAAATTGACCAACACAGTTTCCATCCACCTTTGTCCAAAGGTGAAAGGTGAGTCACTACACATCTTGCCCTAGGAGAGAAAGCAATTCAACCTGCCAACCAATCAACTATTTCACACCCCTTCCAAAAATAAAAACAGAGGAGAATGCTTGCTGGGGCTGGTTGCTGCTTTGGGCCATCGTGTGCACTCCGTTCCTCCAGCTCCCGCCACCATCCGTGCTCCTGGGACCCTCCGATTTCAGTCCAGTTATCACAAAGCCTCGGGTCTCAAAGCACCTTCGGCCTGGCCAGAAAAAGCCATCGCTTTCCTCCACGCTCGCCCGCAGGAATAATGGTGGCGAAATCAACTCAAAAGAGGTCCCGAGCTCCCGGAATAAAGAGGACTGTATGTTCCCGGAGAAAAGGAGCTGTTAAAGAATAACGGAGTCCCAAACTTTCCCTCCGCAGCCTCGGAGCCCCGCGCAGGGGCTCGGCGCCGGGCGGCTCCCCCAAGGAGAGCGCGCCCCCGCGTCCAGGCCCGGTCCCCGCCGGCCCGAAGTTAGCCCGAAGCGCCCCCCACGCGGTGCCGGCCTCCGGGAGTCGGCAAAGTGCGGCGCCCCTTCGCGCAAACGCCCAAGTGGGGAAGCCACTCCCGGCTCCGCAGGGTCCCCACCCCGCCGCCCTGGGCCGCCTCCCGCGCGGGTCCGAGCTAATCCCGCGCCGGCGCCCCCCCGCACCCGTCCCCGTCCCCGCCCGAGCAGCTGGCTCGCCGTTTCAATGGCACCGGGAGGGGAGCGCGCACGCACTCTCGCCCCACACTCAGCCCTCCAGAGAAGTCCCGGGAGAGCGCCCGGTCCCCCTCCCACAAAAGCGCCGACTCGCGCGCCTCCCCCGGAGCGCCGCCCGGCACCGCGGCCGCCGGAGCGAGCGTCCCGAGCCCGGCGTCCGCACTTGGCGCCCGGGGCAGAGTCGGGCGGCCCCCGCCGCCCCCTGCCCTGCCGCGCCTCGTGCCCTCGCCTCCCAGCCCTCCTCCCGGCTCCGACTCCCGGCGAAAGTCTCTCGGGCCCCCGCTCCCTCCCGCACCGCGTCCCCGGTACGCCCGGGGGGCACCGGGGAAAAGGGAGCAGTGCGCGCCGCCTCGCCCGCCCCGCGCGGCCACTCACCTCGATCTCAAAGTCGGGCAGGCGGAACGCCGTGCGAAAGAGCGAGCAGAAGTGCGCGATGGCCGGCACTTCCCACCAGGAGCGGAGCTCGCCCAGCCCGGCCGCGCCGCCCTCCTCCGGGCACATCTCCCAGCCGCGCCGGCGGCGGCCCCGGGCTCGGAGCGCGCCTCGGCGGCCCCACGCTGCCCGCGCTCGGCCCGCTCGCCTCGGACTCCCGCCGCGGCGCAGCGCCTCAGCGCTCGGCTCCTCGGGCGGGGGCGGCGGCGCGGCGGACGCTGCTAGTCCCGTTGCTGCCGCCGCTCGGCGTGAGCATGAGCCGGGGGCGGGCGGCCGGGCGGGGGCGGCTCGGGGGCCCGACTCACTGAGGCGGCTGCGGCTCCGGCTGCCGGCGGGGTCCGCGCACACGCCCCATCTTGAGGCTGCCTCGGCCGCCCCCGGTCCCGTACAATGTAATCAACTCACCGCTGGGGAAAACAGATGGGGCTGGGGGGCGGGGGAGGGGGCCGAACAGAGGGCCTGGGGGAGGGGCCGCCCACGAGGAGGGGGCGGGGCCGTCCCTCACCACAACAACAACCCCCGCCCCCACTCCCCACCCCCAGCCCGGACAGCTGCACTGGAAGAGAAGGGGGAGGGGAGAGGGGACCGAGCACCCCAAGAAGCAAGAAGTGCGTGACCTGAAGGGAGCACCGTGTTCCCCGTGAACTTTTGGGAGGCGCGCTGCGCTTCCCAGGTGTTTGGGACTGAGGAGTTCAAAGACTTTGCTGAGGGAGGACAAAAAGGGTGTCTCCCACCCCCCACTTGGCCTTAGTGGTCGCGTCCTTTTAAAGGGCCCGCTGGGTGGTGCTTTCCTAGGGGCTACGTCCAGAAACGTGCACGTGTGGGAGAGTTCAGTTATTATTGATGTTGAGGGTAGTACCGGAGAATGAGGGGCTGGCCACCCTAGAAATATGAGGCCTAGCGAAACGAAGTGGTTTCCACCTGTTCTTGAACGCTTTTATTGCAGCCGAGAACGGTGCTTCAAGAAGCTCTAAAGTGGCTCTTCCCTCTCAGGGAAGAAGGTGGTGGGGCTGGTTAAGCTGGAACTAAGTAGGATGGAGGCTGGAGTGCGGCAGGAAGGGTGGGGTAGGGGGAGGCACCAATCAGCAGCCAAGCGGGAAGAGCGACCCCCACCCCCACCCCAGGGAATGGACACGTGTGGCCGACCTAGGGTAGACGGGCTTGGAGTCCTGCGACTCTGCACTGGAGGAAGGCTGCCTGGAGAGTCTCACCATGCGGTTAGGAAGCTGGGGGGGATGGGGAGAGGAGTCGGGGACCTGGGAGTGTGCTCTGGTGGGGTGGAGACCTGCACGCCTAGGCCACGGGAATGGGCTCGGGGGAAGGGGGTTGAGGTGTGTACTTTAGAAATGTTAACTGCTATAGTACGTTGGGATTCTGCTAAACCCGAAGGGGGTAAAAAAACACTTCAAAAACAGACGAGAAGTTTGGAAAAAGTACATTGAATGCTCAGATGTTCGTATTGGTCATTGCACTTGTGTTCTAGGGCCTTACCTGGGCTCTGTAGTCCGCCTCTCAGAGAGCAAACACTATCTCTGATGCTCCTCCAAAATTAATCAAGTACTTACTGAGTGACAGACACAATCACACAGTGTACAGTGGTTAAATCAAAGATCCTCTACCTTTAAGTAGTGTAAGATCTGGAGAGAATGGCAAGCATGAGGAACGAATTTACGTGAAAGATTTTGGAGTGGGCTGTCTGGGTAATTCTACCCCACTCCTCCCTCACCATATTTGATAATTTTAATAACCTTTTGTGTTTTTAGAAGGCAGCATTTAGAAAACATGTTTTAAAGTTTTTAAGGAAAATGTATATTCACATGTATCTCAAAATACTTCATCTTCTAACCCTCGTCTTTGTCTTCCTCCCCCTCTCTCTCCTGGCATAGAAACAGCCCCAAAAGTTCTGCTCTTCATTACCTGGAGCTATTTGATGATTTAAAATGGATCCAGATTCTACCATTTGTTTTATTTACTCTTTGACAAAAATGAGCACACATCTAAAAGCTCCTAAAGAGCAAAGACTATGTTTTTGTGCGTTTATAAAGCCCAGCTACTCTGTAGATATTCCAGTGATAGATACGATGGAACAGGGTAACCGCCACTGTGGAATTCATCAGATAACCTGCATTATGTTTTCTGGACTTTCTTCTTCTGTCTTTCTTCATTTCCTCAGATACTTAGACTTTCCACACTTTTTCCTCTTCTTTTTTTTTTTTTTTTTAAGTATTACTGCTTTTTTCTTTATCTTTTGTTATCCTTTAACCTTCTTACCTGACCCCTGAATTGTAACTACTAGCCAGCCTAGTAATAATAGCACCCAGGATGTTAACAATACCAGGAAGCAGAAGGGTGAGACTATTTGGCTACTCTGTACTTACTGCAGTGTGTTTGAATGTGGTTACAAACACACACACACCACCCCCATTTACAGGCCCCTCTATTGTCCTCTTCCCTCTTCCACACCACTGCTGGGTCCTGTAAATCAACAAGGCTGTCCTAGAACTGGAGGTGCCCCCTGGTGGTGTCACAGCTTTCTCACTGTCCCTTTCTCAGCACCTTCTCTTTGCCCTTTGTGCTGCTGCCATTTTCTCCTGAGGGTCTCCTCTTCCTGTTTATCTGAACCAGCGCAACAACTTCAGACCAGTTTCCTTCTATCATTCTCTAACTCTGGTTCAGTCTACGGGTTTTTGCCTGGTTCTTCCCCTTTGCACTTCTCCTTCACCTACAGTCTGGAGCTAATCTTGGCTGCAGGAGCTAAGGAATCTCAAGTGTCTTGGACTAGGCTGTAAATCTGGACCCTGAGTGCCCTGAGTTGGGGCTCCAGCTAGAGCTTTCCATCTGGACTCCTGCCTCTGTCCCTGTGGGAATTAATACCCTGAATCTTTGACCCTGCTTTGAACATTTGTCCCGCTGTTCTTGAACTTAACTGCCTCAGATCTATTTTCTGGACTCACTTCCCGCCTAATCTCCTAGAATCTGGATTAATGACCCCTGTACTGATGTGTTGCTCACAACCTCCTTTTTTTCTCCCTTTGATTCTGAGTGGTGTTGCACTCCTGGCTTTTTCCGGCCTGGCCCATTCTTTCACACTCTCAACACTGGTTGTATCATCCTCTTTAAAAACACTCTCAGCTCATACTTCCTTTCCCTTTCCCACCCCTGTGCCTTTCTGCTTGTGAGTCAGCGCCATTAACCTCAAATGACCTTGAAAGTACCTAGAAGTAATTCTTTCATAGTCTCTACAACCTTCAGTTCCATATCCTCTTATAATTAAATGTTTTCCATTAAAAATCCCCTCAATAATGAGTTTGGTTTTTCTGTTTTGCTTATTCATTAGTGTTGCAAAAATATTTACATTTCTCATTGCAAAATATGAAGTAATTTGAGCTATGTTGGGATTTATATAGGTTCCCGAAGGATAATCTGGGAAACTAACCACCTTTTTGTAAAATTGTTTCTTTGGAAAATACATTGCAAATTCCAAATGATCAACTAAAAAATTTGTGACTTGCTTTATTACTATTGAACTGTGGAAGAGATGAAGCAATCATTTGGCTTCTTCCATAACCACTGCTAACCAAGACTAGCATCTAAATCTTTTAACTATTCATTCAGTTTTCTCTCTATTGGATTATACTGCTTCTTTCTATTTAAACTGCCCCTTCTCTCCCTTTGTCTACTAGCCTGATCTGGGTACTCCTTGTTTCAGTGCCAGAATCAAATTGGAGCTGGAGTGTAGTAAAACCATTATTTTAGCACTTTAGTTTACTGTGTATAATTGAGGTCCAGGTACACATTCTTGACACCTCTCAACATACATCTCTGCTTTTATCATTAGAGAGCTGCTTTCCACAATGTATCTATTCCTACAGAGGGCTATATGCCACGCTAATTTAAAATTTTAAAAATTGTAGAAAGCAGATTAGTAGTCAGGAAATTTTGGTTCTCTGTAAGAAAAGGCTCCCACTCTCTCTGTACCTCATCTGTGAGAGGAAGGGCTTAAACTAAAAGGTCCTGAGTTCTGTGGTTTTCACTTGTAAAATAAGGCCAGATTAACATTCTTAGAATTTAAATTCAATCATGTCACTCCCACCTCCTCAAAATTTAATGACTCCCTAGCCCATGAGAGAAAGTCCCAACTCTGGCAGATTCTTATTTAAGACCCGCCAAAATCTGGCTTCAACCTGCCTTTCCAACCTTATCCTCTGTCCCCACCCCACCCTATCCCACCAGACTCCTTTCCTCCTACCAAACTAGTTCTCTCACTCCCTGGATCTCCTTCCCTGCTCTTTTGATCCTGCCCTGTCAATTGCCTGGGAAGACTACAGCTCAGCCTCTCTGATCATGACCTCAAAACTCACTTCCTTTGTTAAAGCTTTCCTAAAACACCCTAGCTTGGGGGTATCTCTCCGGGTACTGTGTGATTCACCTATCAAGCACTTGCTTGGGTAATCTTTCTCTTATTTATTTTGAAGTGTTTCTTAAATCTTTTACTGTAATTGGACTTGGTCTTTTCTTCCAACCAGATTAGACTTTGGTGGGGGGAAACCCTCCCTAATATGTACCAATTAAATGATTAACTTGATTGTATATGATGATGTAAGTAATGGCAGAAAACCGTAAGGAGTTCAGAGCTCCTTTAAATGCCCGGTGTGGAGCTGCCTTCCTGCTTTCTCCCTCATGGGACTCACTCACCGCCACAGCCTTTTGGGTCATGCCTTTCTCAACACATAACCTTCAGCCCAGCTGCTTCTCTCTAAGCTCTGATGTCATCTCGCCAAATACCACTTGCTTTCCCAG